GGGGAGGGCGATAGAATGAGGTAACCGGAAAGGCCCATCATTGAGAGGAGAGAGCTCGAACAAGGTGATTGAAAAAGTAGAAGATTTAAGTTCAAATTTTCAAATTCAAGACTTTGGGAGATCGTGCATACGGTTTTCGACCTCAACGGTCTCGACTCTCGGTTTTCGACCTCAGCGGTCTCGACTCTCGGTTTTCGACCTCAACGGTCTCTCAACTCTCGGTTTTCGACCTCAGCAGTCTCGGCTCTCGGTTTTTGACCTTAACGGTCTCGGTTTTCGATTTTCAGTTTTTTACCTCAACGGTCTCTCAACTCTCGGTTTTTGACCTCAGCAGTCTCGACTCTCGATTTTTGACCTCAGCGGTCTCGACTCTCGGTTTTCGACCTCAACGGTCTCTCGACTCTCAGTTTTCGACCTCAGCGGTCTCGACTCTCAGTTTTCGACCTCAACAGTCTCGGTTTTTGATTTTCGGTTTTCGACCTCAACGGTCTCTCGACTCTCGGTTTTCGACCTCAGCAGTCTCGACTCTCGGTTTTCGACCTCAGCGGTCTCGACTCTCGGTTTTCGACCTCAACGGTCTCGGTTTTTGATCTCAGCGGTCTCGACTCTCGGTTTTTGACTTCAACGGTCTCTCGACTCTCGGTTTTCGACCTCAGCGGTCTCGACTCTCAGTTTTCGACCTCAACGGTCTCTTGACTCTCGGTTTTCGACCTCAGCGGTCTCGACTCTCGGTTTTTAACCTCAACGGTCTCTCGACTCTCGGTTTTCGACCTAAGCGGTCTCGACTCTCGGCTTTCGACCTCAACGGTCTCGACTCTCGGTTTTCGACCCCAACGGTCTCTCGATTCTCAGTTTTCGGTTTTCAACCTCATTGGTCACTCAGTTTTCGATTTCCGACCTCAGGGACATTCGATGTTCGACCTCAACAGCAAATCATTCAGTTTTCGACCTCAGTTGTCGTTTGACTTCTAGTGCTCGATCTTAGTGGCAAGTTGAAGAAAACAGCTCGAAGAGGCATTTCACTCTTGGATCGAGTTATGCTTACTCGACCAGAGTGGGGGGGACTAGATGATATAGGATATTATACTAGATCGGGTTTAACGGCTACAACGAATGCATATTGGAGGATAAATCCACGTACGGACTAAGACATATAGCATCGCGATTCGGGTCAAGCCCAACTTGGGCCCAAAAGGTACACTCCCCCTATAAAAGGGGGCTAAGGTATCTCATTCTCTATATTCTCTATTTGTTCCATACTACACTCTCTCTCTCTTGATTTGAGCACTGACTTAAGCATCGGAGGCCCGACGCCGGGGTCACCCCCGGCGTTGGGTTCTGCAGGTGCGGAGGCCGTTCGAGTTGAAGGAGCCCCGGTGAAATCTATTTCACTTCACTGTGTAACTCATTATATTGGTTGAAAAAATGAATTAAGGAAATAAATGTAAATAAAAAATAGAAACATAAAAATAAAATATTTAGCCATAAAAGAATTGTATGTTGCATGAGGATTAAAGTCACTAAAAATTTAAATTTATTTATCAAAGTTTTTAACATTTAATGCACTTAATAATTATAGTGGAAGATAAACATTATGGGTTAATCATTGGTCAATTATCAAACAATGTGCAAAGTATGAATTATTTAAAAAATTATAAGACTGTGATAAACGACAATTTTATAAGTATATACAAGTAATTTGTATGCACATATCATATGATCATATACATTTATAGTATTTTATAAACTTATAAATAATTAAATTTATATATTAAATAGTCAAAACTACAAAAAAATTGCAAAAATAAAAATTAACAATAATAGTCCATAAATAAATATCATATTATTACTTAATAGAATATTGTGAATAATATAATTTTTATTATATTGTCTTAAATAATTTTATAATATTTAAATAAAATTTTTTTTTTATTGCACTCTGTGCATCGCACGGGTATAACACTAGTATATAATTATGGCCATTGGCACGGGCTATTGGTTATGAAAATACAGCATCAACGAAGGTACAGCGATCTAGGCAGAAGCGACCCTGTGGGACACCTGGTTTCGTGTAAAACTATCAATTGCGTATCAGTTAGATTCTAAGTTCACCGCAACAACACAGCTGAAACCCCTGATAAATGGCTCCCAAAATTCTGATGGTAAGGATTTTCTTTGCGAGCTGTGCATCAACTCTTAAGTGATGACTGCTTTTTCGTAACTCACTCTTTTTCTATGCGACTGTTAACATGATTGAATTCTTGGGATTAGGTCGCGGAGAAACCAAGCATTGCTCTCGCAATTGCTTCAGTTCTTTCTGGTGGTCGAGTAAGCTTTTCATTTTTCCTCTTCACTGTAATATGGATTTATGGAGTTCATTTATTTTTCCAAGAAAGAGCAGAAAGATAAGAATGCTTTTTTATTTATTTACTATTTTTTTTTCTCGACTAACCTACGGCCCTGGTAATTGTCCTGTTTTCCTTGCATATTGAGAGAAAATAAGCAAATGGTGTATGGTATTAGTCATTCCTTAACAATTTTTTCTGTCCTGGAATATGTAAATTGACTAAATAGGATAACACCCCGAGTTTATACTTGGGTGGCATTCACTTTTTTTGTTTGTTTGTTGATTTATCATAGCTGTACAATATTTCATTTTTGATGCGCAACAGTGTTGATGTGTTTAAGAGTTTTGGTTATGCTTGTTATTCTCATGGGCACTGATTAGAATTGCAGATACTTCTGTTATGTAGACACCTCTAAACTTTCTTCTGTAATTAAGAAAAATAAAAAACATATAGCTACCTATGTGAAAAGTCGGAAAGACATCTTAATTGTGAATTGGGGTAGATGGTAGGACCTTGGAAATCAACCTTTCTAGCATCTTAGTTGAAAAGAGCAAGTACGAAGTGCCAACATCAACCTAATGGATATCAGATATTTATTTTGGACTCATCTTAGGATAGGATTGTTGGAAGATTTGACTATGCAGTTTTTCTGTTTATAAAACTAAGAAACCTGCACTTTTCATGTCGATTTTCATTTGGAGGATGGATTCGGAATTATTGGCTTATTGCAGCTATAGTTCTTTTTCTTCTTTTTGGTTACAATTTGGTTGGTTGATATATGTTATGGATTCTAAGAACACATACCTGTCTTATTTCCTGTGGATATACTTGTATCTTACCTAAATATATTTTCTTTTGTAGAGGTTCTGTTGCGAGCTCAATTTATTTATTTCCTGTCCTTTTTTCTGCCATGCCTAGGAGTTCATTGTATTTACATATGGATTCATTATGCAGCTTACTTTATTAAGGTTGTATGAATTGGAAAATCTTATTTTATTTCAGATGTCGACCCGGAGAGGGAGCACGGAGATCCATGAATTTGATGGGACGTTCATGGGGTTTTCCGTGCATTACAAAGTGACATCAGTGATTGGTCATGTTTTTAGGTTTCTGATACCTTCGGCTTATAACTTTTCTTTTGGATGTACTATTGCTATCATTTTCTTTTTAATATTTTTTGATGTTCTTGTTTGCACGTTCTGCTGTAGTAATACTTGATTAATGAACTTAAACAATACTCTTCTTCTAGTTGCTTCCACTGCTCATGGCAGTGAAAAATTAGCTATAAGTTTTTTTTTTTTTTTTTTTTAATTAAGAATCTATTATTTGGGATTATTGGATAATCCAATTCATTACATGTTAAGTACATAAGTCTTCACACCAAATGAATTTTTGAACACAGTTTCTCTGCGGGACCTGCTTTCAACAGTCTGTTTCTACCTCAATTACTCTATGCTTGTTCTCTGTATAGTGAGGGTCTGATTGACCCTAAAGACACTCATATATATTTGATTCTATATTTTGAGTAATCCACAAGCGTAATATATTTCTTCTTTGCCTGTACCTCTTATTTCCTAATGCGTAATCCTTATAGTAATTGGATGGGCCTATCACTTATTGACCAGGACTCGAACACTGACAGACAACGGATGAATATGATATATCTAACCTCTGAATGAATTGTTTTCATAAAATTAATTCTAACTATATAGCTGAGGGTACAGATTGAGTATCTTGCATAGTAATTGTTTAGCCATATCACATCAGTTGACCTTATTGTAAAATTTTTATGTATGATTCTTATTAATTCTTCCTTAACTTTTTTGGCCCAATCACTGTGTATGATTTGTGACTCAAGTGGCATTCTTGTTATTTCATCTCTTCTAGGAATCTTTTGATTTGAATGGATAATTCATCATATGAAAGTATGATCATCATATTTGAACTAAATATGTAGTAGTGAGGTATATACTCTGGTGACATATATAGAGTGCTCTAAAATTAGCCGGATTCAAAGTTTGACAGCCAAATTATGTATGTTTGGATGTTCAGTGTAGATTTTCCACCACGCTATCAAGATTGGAGTTCTACAAATCCTCTGGATCTCTTTGATGCACCAATTGTTAAAACAGAAACAACACCAAAGGTGAATGTTCTCATCTTTTCTGGTAGCTGATCTTTGTTTCTTGTTTCAATTGTTATGCAATACGCACTTAGATTCAATTAATATATGTTATGCCAAATTTAAAATGCCCTCTGTAAGCTCTGTAGTTGATATTGAACGAAACTTTAAGGAATTTTAGGGAATTTCGAACTTCGTTCGTTTTAGTTTCCCCTATCTTTCTATTTTTTGATTCATGAAGCAGTACAAAATTCACAACTCTTAATGACTGAGTAAAAGTTTTGAAGGTTTTAATACGAGTTTGACATTTATTCAGTTTTCACCCATATTTGCTTTGATATATGAGGTAGTAGAATGCTCATTATTCATTTTTGCCATGATGTATGCTACTTCTAATTTGACTCATTTACGTGAACAATTCTATGTACAAAGTTTTCCTGCATAAAATTCATTTATAAAGTAAAATACTTAGGGCTCCTCAGCGACCAAGATTTTATTTTATTTTATTTTTTTATTTTTTCATTTATTTGACTTTTGGATCATGAAGTGAAGTTCAATTAAAGAGTAGGAAACACACAGGAAAATTAAGAGAACCATCTGAAACTTTATATTTCAGAGGCTTCATCTGCATCTCAGTTTTAGAAGATCTATGTTTATCAGCATGTATCGGTGAATAACATGTTAATATTAGGTTGTCTTTGTCTCCTGTTTGAATTCCTATAATTTCCTTGTCAACACATGGGAATAATAACAAATGACATGTAAGTCAATTTTAGAGGTTGTACGCTGAGACCTACTCTGATATAATACCATATTTATCTCAGAATAAAATTATTAAAGATACTGAGTATTATATATAATTGAGCAAATCTCACATACCAATATATAGAAAAGCAAATGTTGTGCTACCCAAGAGCTGTCTTTATTTCCAACCCAGCCCATTCTGATTTGGATTTTTTCTCAACAATATCTTTAATGTTTTAAGGAATGCATTCCGTCAACAGTCCTAAAATCCAGTCTCATTGATTTTCTTTGTTTTCTTACATATCAAAGTGAATATATCTCGGTCACCACCAGAATTATGGAGACTCGATCTTTTTAATTTTGGGTTTGTAACAAATTGCAAAATCCTGTATGGTTTCCACTTGATATACTCATTATGGAAGTTCAAGATTGTACCAAGTTGGTCTTATTAGTAAATTTTAAAATCATCTAGTCCATATATCATGTCAGATATTGCTTTGTCATTACAAATATGTGATTCAGTTTTTAAAATTTTGACAAATCCATATTATCTCATTTCCATTTTCTTTCCGGGGCAACATTTTAACATGCTCTTTGAAAAGGCTCACATTTGTAGGCATTTAAGCCAAGAAGCTCGTGGTTGTGGACACTTAATATTGTGGTTGGATTGTGATCGAGAAGGAGAAAACATATGTTTTGAAGGTACTTTTCTTTATTTAGTAGCTCATATTGCCATTTCAACTTGAGCAAAATATTATTGTTGGGTTCTGGGTTTATAGATGGGCTTTAATTGCTTTATGTGATTATTCCATTCAACCAAGATGTGCTTGTGCATGGTCTGGTGCACTATATACTCGCCATCTAGATTAGTAGTGATTTACTAGAAATTTTGGGACATATCTGGACAAGAGATGATGGAGTGAATACAGATGCTATGGTATGGACACTATTAAAATAGGGAAAAAGTGTTCTGCTGTCATGTGATTAATTATACATCCAAGAGTGATGATCTTGTGTTCTCTTATTCTATGTTGTAGTCAGAAGAGAAGGCTAATCATACGAATGATAAATGTCTGACAGGTAAGCGCTAGTGGAGAGACACCTATGTAGGCAAAACAATGTTGGATGTACTGCATGTGAACCAATGAGAACAAGAAAAAAAATGCACGAGTGGTATCTAAATACACTAAATGTGGAAAATGATTGTTATTTTCATAAATAAGATGGAAGGCATGAAACAGATTAATCTATCATTTTGAGCTGTTTTTAAACTGTATTATTTCTTTTTGGTTTTTAGTTGCTGGAGCTGACATTGAAATTTGAAATGTAGCGTATATTTTGTATGGTTGGCCATCTCATGTCTGTCTTTTATCTTACAGAACTCAATATGAGATAATTTACAATTTGATGAGGTTGCCGTGTTCTAAAGCTACACTTTTTATATATTTTTTGGCGCATGGTGATATGTGCATGATAGTTTTGAACTTTTGTTAAAGCGAAATTTCCTGTTCTTTGAGTCCTGAGCTGGTTCCTTTTTGTTAAAGCGCTGTCTTCTCAAAATCAAATATTTTTTTTTTTCTATGTCAAGTTATCGAGTGCACTGGTTTCGATTCCAAAGATGACAAGAAAATTTATCGTGCTCGATTTTCATCTGTAACTGAGAAGGATATATTGAAAGCCATGAATAGCCTTGTCGAACCCAACAAAAATGAGGCAATGGCCGTGGATGCCCGCCAAGAGATAGATTTGAAAGTTGGAGTTGCTTTCACAAGGTTCCAAACAAGCTATTTCAATGGAAAATATGGAAACCTTGATTCAAGAGTTATTTCGTGAGTCTCCTGTCTAACCATCTTTTTCTATCCTGTTCCCGTCACAGTTTAACTAGGTCTTTTACTTTTTGCAGTATCTTTTTTTTTTTTTTTTTGGTTGTTTGGTTTTCTATTAGTTCATGTTGACGTAGAAACTACTATTTGGAAGGTCTGAAATTGCTAGAAAAGATTAAAGCTTGTGGTTGAAATTGGGCCTAGACGCCTAGTAGCCTAAAAATTGTGAATCAACATCCAGAAGTAGACCTTTCATACATGGGAACGAATGGATTGGGCCTTCCATTTGCCTATGGATTTTACATAGAATATCATAGTAGAAAGTGTGAATGGAGATGGGAACATAGAGTGGAAGAGGCTTCCTAATCTGTCATTATTTTAATTATAGTGAACTATTGGTCTCCTTTTTAAATTTTCACCTCACTCACCTGGGGCCAGGCATGGACCTTTTTCATATTGGCTAATGCACATTTTCATGTAATGGTTTAGCGTTTGAATCTTTACAGATAAGAGATTTGAGTTAAGGGCACAACTGAGAAAGGAATGCGATCAATGCTGAGATGAAGGAATAACAAGTCAATGTATCCAAGCTAATGAATGTTTCTTTTTTTCCTCAAAATAAATAGAAAAAGTCCTTGTGGACCTGCTAGCTTTGGAAGAATGAGATGGATTTTGATTGTTTCTAACATATGTTTGACTTGATTCAGTTTGTTCAAATTTCGAAAATATCAGGTCCACATTTGAATTTTTTTGTGAAGCCAGCCTTTTCAAAAACATACTTGTGTTTCCTGTTAATTATTTTTGCAATAATGCCAAACAAAAGATGTTTACTTTGTATCCATAAAGGTAGATGTATACATGTATAATATATGTACTGGGATATATTGGGGGGTGGGGGTGGTTGGTGAATCTGTCCCATGATTATAACCATTCTAGAAGACTCCATTTCCTTTTTATTTGTTATACGATCCTTATCACTTCTTTTGTTCTGAAACTTATTCTTCCAAAACCAATACTGGGGTTAAAGTTTCAGGAATCTTATTTCTGTAAAGAAGTCATCACGCATTCTTGGTTAAGTTTCTGTAGCATAATGGAACTGCATATGATCCCTGGGTAGGACAAATAGGGAAAGATAAAAAGATACGATTGGTGAAACTCATATCAATAAGGTCCATCTTCACTTCCAGCACACCAGTCGATAGAAACTCTAATGTTAAACGTGTTTGCTATGGAGCTATATCGAATGGGTGACCCCTAGGAAATTTTGCACGAAGTGTGTGAGTGAGAACAAAGCGCACCGGAAAGTCTCGTGTTAATATAGGACCACCAAGTCTCGACGGTGGAAACAGAGAGTTACAACGTATGGCATGTTAGGACCAGCTTCATTTTAAATTATCTATCAGTTTAGCTACTTTGATTGTTCTTGGGAATTTTACCGCCTTTTTGGTGATCCGATACTCAAGTTTCAGACCTTTATTGGTGGACATTTGTCAAAGCAGCTATACTCTTATGGTCTTGCTTACGTAGTTACTTCTGTAACCATTTAATTCTAATTTCAGCTACGGGCCATGTCAAACTCCAACCCTTGGATTTTGTGTGCAAAGACACCTAACAATTACTACTTTTAAGCCAGAAAAGTTTTGGGTGTTGCATCCGTATGCACTACACAGAGGTTATGATCTCAAATTAGAATGGGACCGCCAGAGGTTATTTGATTTAGATGTAAGGTCCTTGAGCTTTACTTGATATAATATACATATCAGATGCTTAATTCCAGCTAGTTTTATGGCTGCAGATTACCCAGATGTATAGGAACTTTGTAAAAGATGATGGAATGCTGAAAGTTATTGGTATATCAGAAAAGCAGGAGGTAAAAGGCCGCCCCTCTGGTCTCAACACTGTGAATCTTCTAAAGGTCAGAAAACGCTAAGAGCATGTTTATTTATGAAAATTTTTGGGTTTTTTTGGATTTTTTGGTTTGGTTTAGTTAATTTTGAAAAAGTGGTATGGTTAGTTGTTAGTGGGTATATTAAAATAATATTTAAAATAAAATAATTAAAATTGGTTTGACGTAAAAGTAGGAAAGAGAAGATATGATGTGATGGTTAGTTAAAATAATGTGAGTGGATGAATAGTGAATTAAGGTTTATGTGGTGTGTATAAATGATTGATTGATATTATTTAATTATATTGATAATATTGATGATAGTGGGGTTGAGTTAAAGTTGAGTTAAAAAAGTGGTTGAGTTAAAATGTGAGAATTTTTTTGAAAAATCTTATAAACAAACATGCTCTAGATGTCTTTTTAGGTTTCTTATTATTGGGAAAATTTGTACATAATGTCAGGGGATAAGGTGCGACTTGATATTTTTTCATTTGATATATATTTTATTTTTTGGTCGAGAAAGAAGACTTAATGGAAGAACTAGTGATTTATAATTCTATGTGGCATGAGATAGATTAATATCTAATTGTGGTGTGACAAGAAAATAGTAAAATAATGATTGATAGTCATAAAATCAAAGTGAATGAATAGTAAGATTTATAGATTAAATTGTAATAATGTTTGATTAAAATGTAATAATGTTTGATTTTTAATTGGAAGTTGTATTGGGAAAATTGAGGAGAAAAAGAGTGAAAAAGAAAAGAGAAAGATGAATATTGTACCTTTTTTTTTTTTAATGGATGGATGATTTTTGTGCTTACCTCCTATCGATCTTGGTTACTAATTTATACATTCACTGTGTATGTCTCGACTAATTCAGGTTGCATCAAGTGCTTTGGGGTTTGGGCCCCAGTTGGCTATGCAATTGGCCGAGCGTTTGTATACACAAGGTTTCATCAGGTTTTTAGTTGATCATTTTGTTTCTGCTTGAAGTATGTCTTTATCAACGCATCTGTTTCGAGGATATCTCAAGTACTGGGAAATGAAAGTTGACCATGATTTTTCTCTTTTCTTTCAGTGTTTGAATTTTCAGTTGTAATTATATATGAAGACGACATTTTGATTGCATTGCTGTCTCGAGTCTCAACAATGTTGGAGAATCAATTGTTGGTTGACCTATTTTGGCTGAAAAACAGCAAATTGAATAAAATTCGTACCATCTAGATTTTTTTTTTTTTTT